TGGAGCGCGGACCCGGTCTCTGCTGCCTACCCTGTTCTGGGTGCCACATGTTCAGCCTCCCAGCCCTGCCCAAACGCACCCTCAGCCTGGCCGACGGACTGACCCAGAACCCCTGCCCCAAAGGGAGGGGTCGGATGTTTGCACGTGGGTCTAGGTGTCAGCTGCCTGGGAGCCTGGATGTATGGCTGTGTAAGGCCAGGAGCAGTGGCTTTGTTGGTGAGTGTGTGACTCTCTGTGTTACTGTCACCTGGGTGTGTCTGTGACTCTGTATGTAGTTCTCTGTGTCTGAGTATGGGTGACTGTTGCTGGGACCAAGGGTGTCCATGTCAATCTGTGTCTGTGAGTGAGACTCACCCTGCTTCCTGAGCACTGCCAGAAGTAGCTGATGCTCTGTTGGTACCACAGCTGGAGCATCGCCCAGCCAAGACCCCTTCCTGCCAGTCAGAGAGCTGTGCCAGTCTCCAGGGCCCATGCATCCCTGTTCTGGGAATCAGAGCCAGCTGAGCTGCACAGCCCCAGAGTGTTTGTCCCGGTTGGGGGAGGGAGGGAGTGCTGGCCTTGAGGCCTTAGGTGAAGGGTGTCCCCTGCCTCACCTTGCATTTTGACTTCTTACTCCAGTGGGAAGGGGTTCCCTAAACATCCTGTCCATATTTGGACCCCCTTGATGCTGAGGGGTCCCAACCTGCTCCCAGTTGGCCTGGTCTGCTTGCTGCTGGGACCTGAACGGCCAAACCACTTTCCACCACGGTTCCTGGAAGGACTAAATGAAGTCATGCGTGTAATGTGCTCCTGCCCAGCAGGTACTCATAAGTGGTCTCCCTTTCCCATCCCCGAAGCCATGAGTGTGGGTTGAGGATGCTGCCCTGGGGGGTGTCTGTCTCTGGGGCACAGATGCACATGTGGATCTGTAGATAAATTTCATGCTTAGATGCAAACCAGTGTGATCATGCAACCACGTTCCTGGGAAGACATGGATGTGTATGTGTAGAGTTGTGTAGTAAGGGTGTGCACCTGTGTGTGTGTGTGTCAGTGAGGACAAGGAGTGTAAGTGTATGTGGTTTAGTACTGGGGTGTGACTGAGGATCTGTGAGTACTGAGTTGCCAGAGATTGTGTCTGGGTGTCTATTTGCAGGTAGAATGTGGGTCCATGAGTGTCAAAGGGTGTGAGCAGGTAAGTGTGAAGATGCAGGTCCATGAGTGAGCAACTGGGCAGGAGGTGGGTGGGGAGCCTCACCGATCCTGCCCTGATCTGCTGGGTCTATTTCTCTCCTACCCTGCGCAGGCCAGCAGCCGGATGCCCGGGCCCACTGGGCGGGCCGGCGGCCGCCTGCGGGATGAGCAGACTGCTGGGGGGGACGCTGGAGCGCGTCTGCAAGGCTGTGCTCCTTCTCTGCCTGCTGCACTTTCTCGTGGCCGTCATCCTCTACTTTGACGTCTACGCCCAGCATCTGGCCTTCTTCAGCCGCTTCAGTGCCCGTGGCCCTGCCCGTGCCCTCCACCCAGCTGCCAGCAGCAGCACCAACTGCTCTCGGCCCAACGCCACTGCCCCCAGCTCTGGGCTGCCTGAGGTCCCCAGTGCCCAGCCTGGCCCCACGGCTCCTGTCCTGCCACCGTGTCCTGACTTGCCACCTGGTCTTGGTGAGCTTGGAGGGTAGAGCCTGCCTGTAGAAGTGGGAAGAGGGTCTTACCAGTTTGACTGGGGGAATGGAGTCTTGACCTCCGGGGACCTAGGTCTGTCGTAAGAGGTCTATTCTTGGAGTCCCTTTGCCGACCCCAGGCTGAGGGAGGGAGCTGTTGTGCCTGAATTCTGGTGGAGGCTGATCCCTGACACCATCCTGCCTGCAGTTGGCCGGCTGCTGATCGAGTTCACCTCACCCATGCCACTGGAGCGGGTGCAGAGGGAGAACCCAGGCGTGCTCCTGGGCGGCCGCTATACACCACCTGACTGCACCCCAGCTCAGACGGTGGCGGTCATCATCCCCTTTCGACACCGGGAGCACCACCTGCGCTACTGGCTCCACTACTTGCACCCCATCTTGAGGCGGCAGCGGCTGCGCTATGGCGTCTACGTTATCAACCAGGTGCTCCATCTGTGGTCCTGGTGTGGCCACCAGGGAACCGTATGCACCTGCGGGCGTGCCTGCTCATAGGCTCATTTGCTGTGTGGTTGGCCCAGCCCGTGGTGGTGGAGGCCTAGGGTGTGCTGACTAGGGGGAGGTGTTGAGGGCCCTGAGGAGAGGGAGACTTCGGCCTTGCAAGAGGGATGAAGCCTGTGGAACCTTCAGGGGCAGGTGCCAGCCACCGCTGAGGCCAGGGGACTCAGCTCAGCATCTAAGCCTGCTGTGGGCGTGGCTAGGACTGGCTCATAGGTGCCAGAAAAGATATGACATGGCGCTCCCTTCCCACAGAGGACTCCCAAACTTGGACATGGATCTCTGTATCTCCAATAGGAGAGTGTGTGACGAGTCAGAGCAGAGGCCGTGGGAGAGCAGAGGGGCCTGGTCCAGCCATGAGGTTGGGGAACGACTGCTGAGATTGGTCTTGATGGCTGAACAGACAACAGGCAGCAGAGGGACTGGAGGATCCAGGGCCCAGCGAGAGAACTGGTCTCATGTGTTCAGGAATTCACGGGGGGTCCAACATGTAGGCTGGGTAGCTAAGGTGAGGCTGGGGAGTTGATGGAGGCCAAATCAAGAAGGGTCTTGATGGTCATGTGAAGCAGCTAAATTCCAGCCTGAAGGTGGTGGGGCACCATTGTAGGGTTTTCAGGAGGCAGTAGTACATGTGTTTGCTTTTTAGAAAGATGGCTCTGATTGCATGTGGAGAATGGATGGAAAGTGGGAGACTTGAGGCAGGCGAACAGTTAGGAAGAGATTACGAGACCCAGGAAGGAGATGGTGACTGTGCTGATGAATAGGACAGTAGTGGGCACGAAAGGGGAGATGTTACGCAAGGAGTGGAGAGAGAGAAAAATGAGATGTGAAGACAACTTGAGGGTTTCTGTCTTGGCCATTTTGCTGTGTGGAGGGCCACGCCTGTGAGTGAGATGGGGGACATAGAACTGGGCCAGGTCTGGGCAACAGTGTGGCTCTGAATCCTTTCTTGTCTGTGACAAGTTCAAGTGCTTGTGGGACGTATAGGAGGAATGTTTACCAGGCAGTTAGACAAATGACGGTGGACTGAGGAGGGAGGTCTACGGTGGAGAAGGTTCTAGGAGCACCAGTATGTAGATGGTCCCTAAAACCAACAACGTCTGACATGCCCGGAGAGCATGGGCCATGGGAGGAGAAAGCCAGCACTTCAGGGAAGGCAGAGAAAGAGAGGCCACTACAGAGGCTGAGAAGACTGGCCAGAGGGTCGAGGAGACCCAGGAGAGTGCGGTGTCCTGGAAGCCCCGCAGTCAGAGCCAGGGAGGAAAGGCAGCAGCTGCGTGAGCGCTGTGGGGGCGTGAGGAGGCATGTGGCCCGAGAACGTCCAGTGGATTTAGCAACAAGGTGGGCCCGGCAGGAGCCATTTCAGGGGCATGGTGGGGGCGGAAGCAGATTGCAGTGGGTTGAAGAAGGAATCGGATTTGACAAAATGGAAATAACCAATTGGAGACAACTCTTTTCAAAAACTCTCTGCCGAGAAGGCAAGGCAAAAGGTAGGGTGGTGGCTGCAGGCAGGTTCGGTTTTTTCTAGATGGGAGAGAACTGAGCATGTCTGTGAGCTGTGTGGGAGAAACCTAGGGCTCCTGGCTCCTGAGAAAGGTCAGAAGGGAGTGCTGATCAACAAGGAGAAAGTGGGGCCGAGCCCGTGGCGCACTCGGGAGAGTGCGGCGCTGGGAGTGCAGCAGCGCTCCCGCCGCGGGTTCGGATCCTGTATGGGGATGGCTGGTGCGCTCACTGGCTGAGCGCGGTGCGGCCGGTCTCAAAAAGGACAAAAAACAAACAAACAAAAAAAAAAAAACAAGGAGAAAGTGGACAGTCCCTCCAGTCCTGCTGGTCTCAGAGGCTGCCCAGGGAGTTAGATACGGATCCAAATGAGCCAGAGGAGGCAGGTGCCTGAGACTCGGTGGTTTCGTCCCCATGGCTTCTGCATCCCAGACACTGGTCATTTGGAGCATTATTGTTTATCTCACTTTGTGACTGTATGCTCAGCAGGGATAGTGACCAAGGCTGCTCATCTCTAGAATCCCCTCTGGCACAAAGACAATGCCTGGCACAAAGGAGAGGGCCACAGGGCATGTCTGAATGAATGAATGAGATGAGAGCTCTGAATAGCGGTTTAAGCAGACATTGGCATAAATGAAGCCTATAGAAGGGAATGAATAATTGTGCTGGGATGGGGAGGTTTGGTCAGGGGAGCCTTTCCAGACATGCATTTGACAAGCCAAGGAGAGCATTCCAAGTAGGGGTACTGCTAACCCTATGGCCTGGAGGCAAGAAGGAGTATGGCATGTGCTGGCATGTGCTGGGCCTTAGGACCTGATGGCAGTGGCCAGAGAGGAGACTGGAGCCAAACCATGAAAGGCTATTGAAGGCCAGATCCGCGGTCAGACACTGGACTTGAACCTGAGAGTCTGGGGGAGCAATGCAGGGAGGGAGGGGCTGGATAGGCTCCCAGGGACTGCTCTGGAAAGTGGTGAAGTGGCAGGTGCTTGCTGGTCACAGGCCTTGAGCTAACCTGTCCCCGCCCCACACCCCAGCATGGTGAGGAAACTTTCAACCGGGCCAAGTTGCTCAACGTGGGCTTCCTAGAGGCGCTGAAGGAGGACGCTGCCTATGACTGCTTCATCTTCAGCGACGTGGACCTGGTCCCCATGGATGACCGCAACCTGTACCGCTGCGGTGACCAGCCCCGCCACTTCGCCATTGCCATGGACAAATTTGGCTTCCGGTGAGGGCTTTCTTCTTAGCTAAACCCAGACCTCCCCGTCCCTACCACACCCAGGCCCTCATTTGCAGCCCCAGTGCCCCGCTTGCTCCTGGCTCCTGGCCCCTGGCCCCAACCCCTCTGGCTAGGCTCGATGCACATTCTATCCCCATCCCATCTCTGGTCCTTCATCTTGGATCCCCTTGGGACCCTTACTGACACCTGCTCTCCCAAATCATAGGCTGCCCTATGCTGGCTACTTCGGAGGTGTGTCAGGCCTGAGTAAGGCCCAGTTTCTGAGAATCAATGGCTTCCCCAACGAGTACTGGGGCTGGGGTGGTGAGGACGATGACATCTTCAATCGGTGAGTAGGGATAGGGTGGGGAGTAGACTTGGGTGGGTGCAACGGGGAGGTGCAGACTGGGCAGAGCTCCTTGCCCTGCCTGGTGCCTGCTCCACTCTTGACTGTCCCCACCCTCAGGATCTCTCTGACTGGGATGAAGATCTCACGCCCAGACATCCGAATAGGCCGCTACCGCATGATCAAGCACGACCGGGACAAGCATAACGAGCCCAACCCTCAGAGGTGACCCCCCAGCACCCTTGACCCCGAAGTGCGCCTAATCCTTTACTCCCTAGAGGTGGCCTCCAAACATCCTTGACCCCTGGGTGGTGACTGCCAGTGCCACTGATTCCTAGAGGTGATCCCAAGGTACCTGATTACTGACTCCTAGAGGTGACTCCCAGCATCCTTGATCCCTGTCCCCCAAATCCCCAAGCTCAGCTCCAGACCTAGATATCTCACACCCCTGGCCTGATTCCAAGAAGTGACCAGAATTTAAAGTCAAGACTCAAATTGTCATTGAGTAGATTGCATTCCCATTGGTGCCCTCACAGACCTCACTCTTGTACCTTGCATGACCCCTACTTATACTGGCTCTGCCAGAGCAGATAGGACAAGAGATAGCAGGCGCTGGGCATAGCTCCTGAAGATCCCATAAAGGTGGCCAGAGTAGTGTGGGGCGAGGAGTAGAAAGATAGTGCCAGACCACTGAGATTGGAGGTGGTGGCTCCGTCTCTTTGGAGGTGGCCACATTTGGCGTGTGGGCTGGCTGGAAGAAGGGCCTACAGGGTGTGTAAAATGTAGACAAGGACTTCCCGGGCTTCCTGATGCTGCTCTGTGATTGGTGCCAAACCTTCTGGGGACGGGGGACCCAGAGCAGTCATACCCAATCCCTGCTCTCTCATAAAGTTCCTTCTAGACATGGAGACAGGCAGGGAAACAGGTAGTTACAGCACCAGGTGATCAGGACAAGGTGCTGTGCTGGGTGTGATGGTGAGAGGCTTCCTGGAGGAGGTGATGGTAAACTGGAGTTTGAGAAGAGTTATTATCTAAAAAAAAAAGAGGAGTCAAAAAAAACTTATAAATACAAAAAAAGAAAGAAAGAAAAAATGAAGAGTTTCTGATCAAAGAAGGTAAAAAAGAGAAAAAAAAGTTATTCATTCAACAAATATTTGTTTCACACTTACCTGGGGCACAGTGCTGTGTTCACCACGTTAATGGAGGAGGCCAGTTTGGATAAGGCAAATTGTAGTTGCAAGAGTCTGGAATGTGAACATGCATGGTATATACTGAGAGTCTTAAGCCATTTGCTTTTAAGATCTCTAAAGTCTGGCAGTAACAGTAGCGGGGTCAGTGCCGGGTGTTAGGGGTCTTGAATACCAGGTAGGGAGTTTAACTTTTGTTCCAGAGGACTGGGGGGAGTCATGGAAGGGCTTTAAGTGGGGAGGGGCAGGGTCAGATTCGTATTTAGAAGGCTCACTCTTTGAGCCTGAGGAAGATGAAGGGCTGGCCTAGCTGCTGGGCAGGGCAGGAGAGGAAGCAGACCAGGAGTGAAGAGATCAGGGGAGCCTAAGTGGGCATGCTGGGGCAGGGGCCTGTGGGGCTGCTGTGCCCCCAGCTGGAATAGTAGGGTTTTTCTACTCTGAACGCAGGGTTTAAAGGGTTGATGTTTGGCAGAGTACAGGAAGCTAATGAAAAAGCAGTTCAGATAAAAACCATGGTCAGTAGGGAAGGGGATGACAGAATGGAGAAGAGGGGCTTCAGGGCATCAGAGCAAGAGTGATCAGTGCAGGGATGGTTCAGGACAGGGATCTGAGTGGAGCTCCAAAGGACTGGGAGGATCAAAACAGTTGGGAAGGGCCGGCCCGGTGGTGCACTGGATAAGTGCGCCGCTTGGGAAGCGCGGCAGCGCTCCTGCCGGAGGGTTTGGATCCCACATACAGACCTGTTCCCGCTTACTGGCTGAGCGAGGCGTGGGGGCGGCACCGAGGGTTGCAGTCCCGTTGCCGGTCCCCGGTCCGGTGCGGGGGCAACACTGAGGGTTGCGATCCGTTGCCGGACACGGAAAAAGACAAAAGACAAAAAAAAAAAAAAACAGTTGGGAAGAGGGAGGGGGTGGAACTCTAGAAGTACATGTCAGGAGCCTTGGTCCTGTTTCAGGAGGACCTTGTCTGGGTGCCGTCATCAATTAGCGATGTCTGCCTTGAGTGTGGAAATGGCAAAATAGCAAGAAATTTCTGACTTAAGGAACTCTATGGATGGTGGTTCTCTTTATCTATCTAGTTGCTTTTCCCTCAAATCAAGGAGTTTTTCCTGGATTCTTTCCCTCACCTTGCATGTCCAAACTATCAGCAAGTCATGTTAGTGCTATCCCCAACATATGAGTCCATCCACTTTTCCCTTTTACTACCTGCACCCTAGGCCCACCTTTGTGATCTTGCCTGGGCCACTGTGGCGGCCTTTAATGGTTTCCCTGCTTCCCCTTTGCCCTCCACCCCCCAAAAACTGGGTTAAAAATCCGTGTCCTCTTACTCACAGGAGAAAATATGAACTTCCTTTGACTTATGAGCCCTGCCCAGGTATGCTCTAACCTCCAAGCTAATCTTTTTGTTTTTCTTCATGGCCCATTAAGGTCTAGCCACTCAGATGTGCAAAATCTCATTCCCAGTCTAGGGTCACATGTGCTCTGACCTCTCTGCCTGGAATGCTCTTCCCCCCGCCCTCAGCTTGACGGCATGTACGTCTTCCAGGGCAGCCATCTTGTCTCCCTCAGTGCTCTGATGTTGTCCCTGTCTGTTGTTGGTCTCCCCTAGTGAAGCAGACTTGTGTGAGAGGAAGGACGTTGCCTATCCTGTTCGTGGCTGTATCCCTGGTGCTTAGAGCACAGCGTGTCACATGGGAGTGCTCAATAAGTAGATGGTGGAGGAGGGACAGAGAAGATGGCACAGGTTTGGGGAGTGAAGGTGATGCACAGGACACATTGCATTTGAGGTGCCTGTGGGACACCTCATGTCTGGATCTAAGGCTTAGAAGGAAGGTCTGAACTGAGATTCGTGAGTGTGTCACAATTGTTTTCTGACTGAAGAGGGTGCAATCTCTGTCTTGAAGGCAGATACAAGAGCAAAAGTGCTCCTGCCAAGTCACCCTGGAAGGAGCCAGGATGGCTTGAGCAGTGGCTCCAGAGATCCCATATTGGGTTTGGTGGTTAGCCCTGATCTGGACCCATTTCCATCCTATCTAGGTTTACCAAGATCCAAAACACGAAGCTGACCATGAAGCGGGATGGCATCGGGTCAGTGCGGTACCAGGTCTTGGAGGTGTCTCGGCAACCTCTCTTCACCAACATCACAGTGGACATTGGGCGGCCCCCATCATGGCCCCCTAGGGGCTGACACTAATGGACACAGGCTCTTAGTGCCGAGGATTGCCTGCCAGAAGACTGACCTACAGTCTGGCTGGTGGCTGCTCTGTGGAGGACCCCCAGGACTGAGACGTGGGCTCTGCTGTCTGAGGGTCTTCAATAGGCCCCAGCTATACATGGAAGTTACATCCCCCACTTTGGGGGGATGCCAGCCTGGGCAGGCCCCACAAGTGTGGTCCTCTCTGGGGTCAACCCTCCTTCCTGCCCCACTCTCCCCAGCCCAGCCACCCTCACTGTCAGGGTCAGGCCAGCCCCTGCACTGCCTCGCGGAGTGGCCTGGGCTAGGTCACTCCACCTCTCTGTGCCTCAGTTTCCCCCCTTGAGTCCCCTAGGGCCTGGAAGGGTGGGAGATATGACTAGGGGCAGTGTCTCTTCCAGGGGGAGTTCTCAGACCCGAGGATCCCCCATGCTCCCAGGGGAGGGGAAACCTTTTTCATTCAACATTGTAGGGGGCAAGCTTTGGTGCACCCCCTGCTGAGGAGCAGCCCCCAGGAGGGGACCAGAGGGGATGCTGTGTCGCTGCCTGGGATCTTGGGGTTGGCCTTTGCATGGGGGGCGGGTGGAGCTTGGATCAGTCTGTCTGGTTCCCGCCTCCCTGTCTCAGAGAGGAGGCAGTAGCCCCAGGGCCGGCTCGTGTTTGTACATTGCACAGAAACTTGTGTGGGTGCTTTAGTAAAAAACGTGAATGGAGCATCCCCCTTGTCTGTTTGGGGATGGGGATCTGGGTCCCCGAATCTAGTTACCCTGAGTGTGTTGCGGTGGGAGGACACCTGGCCCAACTGGCTGGCCTGGCCTGGACTGTCGTGGCTCTCCAAGCGCTACCACTCACTAGACTCCGCTGGCCTAGGATGAAAAGTTTACCCTGCAACTGCCTCCGGGCCAGTCGAGGCAACTTAGTAATAAATACAGTGGGCCCAGATTTCTGTCCTTCTACCCGCCCCGTGGCCGGAAGGTGCGCAGGGATGAGCCCACGGTGGTTGGGGTCCGGGCTCTGGATGGCTCCCACACCCAAGCACCGCCGGCCCCCGCGGGCAGTCGGAGC